TATATCCTGAATAACCATCTAACTTTCTGTAGTCAATGCACATCCTCCAATCAGTTATTGTCCTAGTTGGTACAAATTTATTATTTTCATTAGCAACTATAGTGACTCTAGATTTTTTAGGGACTACCTGTGTAGAACTTACCCACTTACTTTCTGCAATAGGGTAAATTATTCCTATATCTAACAGTTTCAGCACCTTTTCCTTACAACTTCTTTCATGTGTGGATTTAGTTTTCGTTGCACCTCCCTAGATGTTTTTGCATTGTCTTCCAAATAGATCTTATGAGTGAAAACTAGTGGACTAATTCCTTTTATATTGGCTAAATTCTAGCCAATAGCATTCTTATGCTCTGAGAAGTTGAAGTAACATACTTTCTTGTGCTGAATTTAATTGAGAAAAATTATTACTGGATATGTCTCATCATCTCCCAAAAATGCATACTTTAACTCTACCGGTAATTGCTTAAACTCAAGTTTGGGAGCTTTATCACTAGATGGGATCGATGGATTGGTTCTTGGTGGAAGGTCCTCAAATTTTTGTCTCAACCCTCTCATTTCAAGTACCTGTGAAGAATTTAAAAAATCAGTCAAAACAGAAACTTCAGAATTATTTTCATCTATCTCTAACAAAGAAGATTATTCCAGCAAACATGCCTCAAGTGGATCAAATAAAGAAGAATCATATACTCTGCTTGGAACAAGAGATTCAATCATATTAATCTCATGCACATCCTCATCAACATTCCCTGGTTGTTTGCACACATTAAAAATATTGAGTTCTAATGTCATATTCCCAAAAGTTAAAAACTAACTTGTCCACTATGCTTGAGAACCTATTGATTTATCAATACAAAACACATCAAGTTCTCCCCCTTAGTTGGTGCTCACAAGTAAACTAACAAGTAAAAAAAAAATGTGTTTTCATGCCTAGTTTGTAAAATTTACTCCCCCTGAGTGTTTGAGGATACTTTCCTAATCTAACTCTAAATGAGTTTTCTTCCAACTTGGACTCTTATAAGAATTAAATTATTGTAATATCTTCAAGTCTTCATATTTCAATCTTGACTCTTCAATCCTTATCAATTGTGATTCTTCCTCTAGTGATTGTTTCACTTGTATTATCCATTATTACTTTAAATCAACCAATTTAACTGCAAAATAAACCAAACAACTAGAAAAAGTATCAAACTAAAAAATCAAGGAATTTAACGCATTTAATCACAAATAATATGTAATTAACCAATCATTAAATATAATAAAATAACAATTTTAATGGTTAATCAGCTGCATAAGCACCGTCTCCTTCAGGTGTCTCAGGTTTATCACTTAAAATAAAACCAAAATTTTACATCATGCCCTCATCAATAGAATCCATGTACAGAGCTAATAGACTATGTTGCTGATCAATACTGCTCTATAGCTATCCTAGTGCTAATTGAATGGTAATCCACTAATCTAACGCAGCTACACTAGGTGTCCTAGGGAAAGTTTTAGTGAGGTATGGCCTCATGCTTGCCTCGATGGTGGTGCATGACTAAATGTACTAGGCTTTGCAGAAGTAGTACCATGAATTCCAGCCTCAATCTCGTCACCCTTTACATCTACCTCCATAGGGTCAAGTGTATATCTTGTGTGTGTCTCGGTTTGTCTAAAAGACTCCTTCCCTAGATGTCTCTTTGGTTTCATCAACTGATCAGAATCTAAAGCATCAATACCTTTAGCTAGACATATATAGGTGATCAAAGAACCAAATGACAAAGTATCGATAATCCTTCGCCCCTAAAATGCTTTTTGAATTACTCAAAATATCACATGCAGTAGATTTGTCTCCAAATCTGTACCAATATCTTGTATAAAATAGGCTTGTGATATGAAAAAAGTAGAAATATGAGTCTTTGAGTCAATGTTGTAGTTGACTATCAGATTTATAAACCTATAATCCCTAATAAAATTCTTGTGGTACCACAACTGGTGGTTCTATCCATCAGGATAAGGAAGCCCATGCGACATAGAAGAAACTGATGACAATGTGGGTATAACACTCTCAGGTCAAAAATAAAAAGGATCACGTGCTATCTGGGGAAGATGTAGGGTAGTGGATGTTAGACCATGTTTTGTAATTGGCTAATATCATAGAGTCCATTGTAAAATCTCAATCATTTTCATCGCTATGATGCAATGAAGTTCAAGATCTAAAACAACATTGAAGGGAGGACATAGAGTGTCAAAGCTGCATTATTTAACCTCCGTATGCATCTTCATACTTAGGACAAAAGGTAACAACCTAAACATCTAAAACGAACCAATAGTTATTTTAACTTAGGATGATTAGGATGAAAATAAAATTGGAAGTGATTCGATTATTACTTCTAGGTGATTTTTTTTTAAAAAAAATTCTAAACTAATTTTGTGTTTTGAAAATATAGTTTGAGTTACAATGAGACCTCTCTTTGAGAAACACCCGTTAATGATCAAAAGGACAAGTTTTTCCATAGTGGTAGGCTTGAAAAACCTATAGGGACTGCCCTATGCTTGCTAGACTTTGGTAGAGCTGTCTCTTAATGACTTAAGATCAAAAAAGAAAAAATGATACGAGGAATCAGCATATGACTCACTCTTAGCTCGCTCGAGTAGTCTCCATAGTCGCTCGAGTGGTGCTTATGGTTGCTCAAGTGATCCTAATCCTTAGTTGGTTTGAGACGTTATTTTTCATTCCAGCGACAACCGTCCTATGATTGCCTTCTCACCGATTGAACAATCTTTCACAAATCTAAGTTTTTAAATTTACTAAGGCTACCCTTATTTTAGACCTATAAATAGGGAGAGCCTTTCTCACATCTAGGTCAAGCCTTGAGAGTGTATTTTGAAGATAGAAACCTATCTTTCAACCTTAAGAGCTTCCACCATAACCTAGATCCCTAAGATCCAAATGCTACCACTAGTGATTCTTTCCATCCTCATAACTTGGAGTAGAAAAGCTTGTTGGTGAAAAAACACATTGGTGTATGCATACCGAGGATTATTGTCGTGCCTATAATCTCTCAAGGCCTGGACAAACTATGTGGTAATGAGGTCCAAGTGTAGCTACACCAGGCGTCAAATAGGGAGTTTCGGCAAAGAGACATAGTAAGGAAAGGAGCATATAGCCATGGGTACTGATTGAGGTATAAGACTCGAATACTAATATGTTGACTTGACGTGTAGTGGATTAGGTTTTGGTGAACCCCGAGTGGTTCCCTGCATTTTTTTTCGAGGGTTTTTCACACTTGCAATTATTAGAACACACGTGCACTATGTGTTTAATAATTTGGTTGTTAGAATTCATATCATCCACAGTTGCACAATTGGGTTTGTTGGGATCACTGCAAGATTGAATTGAGTGAACCAATTGCAAATTAATTAAAATCAATCGTCATGGTTCAAAGGGTTGTGGTGTTTGAAAAAGAGTTTTCATCATTAATTTTTGCATTTGATTGAGAAGAGGTAATTGAGGTAGACATAGGTATTAATCGGTAATTGATTTAAGCTAAAATACCAAAACTTATTCACCCCCTATAGGTTTAGTGTCTCAGTCTCTACGTGTATAATCATGAGGAAATATCCATATCAAGTTCTCCCTCCTGGAACAACAATTTATTTCAGAGCATGGTTGTCTTGTGATCATAAGACACTAATTACGCTTATCTTGTTTATTTGATTACTTTCCTAATTGTTTACTTTCAAAAAATCTATCATTACTTTAGTTAGTTTTGAATGGATTGTCAAAAGGAAGGTGGTTCAATTGGATGACCCCCACTCTTCGATGGAGCGAACTTTGCATATTCGAAGGCTCACATGAGAACATTTCTTAAATCCATTGATGAAAGGGTGTGGTTGACTATCCTAGAGGGTTGGAGCCCTCCCACCGCCACCACACAAGTTGGAGGTGGTGAAGTAGTGTTTTAATTGAAATCTCCAATGACTTGTTCAAAGACTGAGATTGAATTAGCTGGGTGAAACTCGAAAGACTTGAATGTGATATTTAATTTTATGACACCAAACGAGTTTCAAAGGAAAATTGTGACAATTCAAAGGAGGTATGGGATACTTGTGGTTTCATGTGAAGGAACTACAATGGTTAAGATGTCCAGTCGCCAAAGGTACACCTTATAATTGGAGATATTGAGGATGTAAAACAAAGAAACTTTTGGTGATTTTTATGCAAAATTAGGTGATATTGTTAACCCTTCCTTTGCCTTAGGTACCAAAATCGATGATACCACAATCAAGTGAAAAATCTTGAGATCTCTACCGGATAGATTTTATGCCAAGGTGACCTCGCTTGAGACAAGTGTCAACATGTCCATGGTGTCGATCGAAAACCTTGTTTGGTCGATTTTGAATTTTGAGATGAACCTTCTTTCACCCAAGAAAGTGAAGGGTGTTGCATTAAATTCTAAAATCGAAGAAGGAGGTAAATTCGAGTCACCCCATTTAGGAGAAGAGAACATAGCCTATCTTGCTAAAAAATTCAACAAATATTTCAAGGCTAGTGGTGTCAAATCCTAAAGGTCAAAAGGAAATCCAAGTAGACCTAGATCTCCAAGAAAAGGAACAGAAAGGGAGAATAGATCTTTTTGAAATAAGGTTTATAGGAAGGGGCAATGTCTCCAATGCTATGAGTGTCATGTGTTTGGACACGTAGTTACGGAATGTCTTAGTGCTCAGAAGAAGGACATGCCCAAGGAGAAAGGAAGAGCCTTAAAGCCCAAAGTGAGTGAAAGCGAAAATGAGCCCATAATGAGTGTTCACTCCTCTTCGTCAAGCGATGAAGAAAACTTCACGGCCTTTGTAGGTTCACACTCCCCCTGTCCCACAACAAAAATATTCCACAAATAAAGATAAGGAAGTTGAGTCAAGTCCCACTATGGACATAGATGATTTAGTTGTAGAAGTCTCTACTAGTGAAGATAAGACCGAGAGTGTTGAAGACCTCCAAGATACTTATAATGAATTATACAATGAGTGCCTAAAATAAGGTGAGAAGTTACTTTCATTGAGCACAAGGCTTAATATGAGTGAAGATGAAAATAAAGGACTTCATGTGGACTTAGTTAAGTCCATGGCTCAAATTGTTGGGATTGAGGAGGAAAAGAAGTCCCTCCATGACAAGGTGAGCTTCCTTGAGGGAGAGTACAAAGGGATTTTAGAGTTTAAGAAGGGTCTTGAGTTTAAGATTATCAAAGTTGATAGAGTTCTTAATGAGTCACAAGAGCTCTTAAAAAGACATTCCCAAAATACCGAAAAGCTTGATAAAATGTTGGCTATAGGGAAAAGTGTTGGTGACAAAAGAGGATTAGGTTTCACTAATGAACACAACACTTTCACTTCTTCCAAGATTGTGTTTGGAAAGGGTGATCCCAACCCAATACCTCCACAAGTAAGCACAAGTCCTAAAACAACTAATAATGGTAAGGGTAAGCAAGAAAAGAAGTTGATTAAAAAGAAAACCCAAACCAAGTTATTTGTGTATTTTACGTGTGGTGAGCATGGTCGCTATAGTGCACATTGCATTCACAATAAATAAGTCTTAGAGAAAAAGCTCATGCATCCAGCATTCCAATCTAAAACCTTGAATAATCAAGTTGTGAACCTTTCCAAGCTTTTAGAGAGGTTATGTGGGTCCAAGCATAGTAATGCATCATCTTTTTTTTAGGGGAGGGGAAGGGGACTTGAACCCTTGACCTCAAGAAGGCAAAACCTTTACAAGGTAAGGAGTACCATTAGACCAAAGACCCATTAGTGCATCATCTTCACAAAGACCATAAGCTAGATTACATAAGGCTTCTTCTACCCCTAAGGTTAGGATTGATCTACACATTTATGGGGAGAAGAGAGCTAGTATTCTACCCATTCCCCAACCTAACCCGAGTTTTAGGAAGGAAAAACAAGTATGGGTGACCAATGAGGACTTTGAGAAACTCATTTTTAAAATCCATTTCAAACCATCTCATTTTCATCCAAAACATGCATGATGCAGTTTTTCACATAAACCCTCATTTTTACAAGTCATTACAATTAGTTTACATGTATTTACAATGCCAAAACTAGGTTTTAACAAAAGTTTACAAAAAAGCTAAGGTTAAAGGCCACAAGTCGGCCCCTCTTCACCCTTGAGGCTCCTAATGAGGACCATCCGCCGGAGTATATCCCGCACCTGAAATATTTTCCCGTATAGGGTAAGCCACGCTCAATAGAATATTTCCTACAGTGGCTACTCCCCACCTAAGTGCATATGTAATGTTTAATGCAATAATCCACAAATAATATTCTTTTCAATCAATGCAATGCAATCCTATGTTAGGGATTTTGTCATGTCATGCTATGAAATGAGATGAGACTCACTCATACGTTTTAACCCGAGTCCTCACCGACTCCCATAACAAAATAGAATGCACTTGTATAATGAATCCGTTAACTGACGAAAATACATCCAATGATTGTTTGAAATAAATTTGTGTTTTTATAAAATCAAATCATTGATGGATGTTACCCATTGAATGGGTATTTTTATAAAATAAAATCTTGTGTCTTTGTTGGACAACGGATTTTGGAATCTCACCGCCGGCTCCATAAGCCTTTCTACACTTTTTGGACTTGCACCGTCGGAGTGTATGAACCAAATAACTGGGCTTTACACCTGAGGGAGAATCTATCACTGCTTGCTATACCCGACACAAGTTTTCTTTTCTATGCAACCGTGGAACTCTGTTGAACCTTGGTCAAATGGTACCGAGCCCACTTGTCATCCACTGAGGATGGTGTTTGACCCAAACCATGCACACACCCACACCCACACCCACACCCACACCCACACCCATGTCTCATGCCCATGGATGCGATGTTTTCATGAAAATGCAATGTAATGCACCATTGCTATCTCAATGTCATGCTTCATATGTAATGGGTGTCATGTGAGCAAGTTAAGCCGCATAATAACATATTTCATGGCAATCTATATCTCATGCATATAATTATCAATTTCATCACCATGTTAATACATTAATAAACACATATCAACATTTTGTTCTCCAACAACGAATCACAAGCATGTTATTACATAATATATGTCAATAACACACTTTATTCACTAAGCAATAATGTAAACACATAGCATGCCACTTTCTCCCAAAATTTCATGGGATTACACAAACACTTTCACCTTTCTAATTCAAGCAAGAAGTTCATTTAGGCCATTTCTAGACCTATCCCCTTGTTTCCATTACTATAGGTAAGTCATAATTCATTCCACACATATAACCATTCCATAAGAACATCCTAGGGTAGAAGTGACCCAGAGTAGGAGGGAATCCTACCTCTTGGAGCGTGATAAGAGTGTGGAGAACCTCAAGAACACCTCCAAAGTCCAAAATCTTGATTTTTTCAAAATCTTCCATTTGGATCTTCGGTGAAATTCTTCGTTCTTAGTACGTACGCATAGCCCTCTCCGCGTAGATGAACTTTAACTCTTGGCTCGACGGATTCCGATCGACGGAACTCCGAGAATCGACGAAAGAAAAATTGGTTTTCTCTCTTTTCTCTCCCTCTTTCTCCCACACATTTAAGGGTTGAAATGCAGAGATATTTCTGTTGAAATATCTGATTTTTAACCCTATTTATAATTTTAAAGTCTTGGCTTATATCGAGCCACACGCCCATCACTTATCTAGGTCCATTTTCGCCCCGAAATAATTTATTTCATCCCGTTTAAGTTCAAATTATTTTTATTTAAAATTTTATTCAATTATATAAAAATTTTATAATTTCTGTTCTTGAGGACCTTTGAAAATTTATTCGTCACCCGTTTATCTCGTAAAACGTATAAAATTTGACTATCTCGGAATCTGACGAAAATTGACAGGGGCAGCTCGAGTTCACGACACGAATCCAACAGTGAAATCCGTTGAGTCATCTGAGCTCTAGAAAAATACTGATTTTAAATCCGTATTATAATGACAAATTATCATTTTACCCTTTTTCAGAAAAAGTTCAAAATTTTCCGGGTTTTACAAATTCACAATTGTATTAATTGAAGTCATAGACAAGAAAGGATAAAAGAGAGGGAGAGTTGTCAAAAATTAAAAAATTAGAACATTCACTAACTGATCATGTATGCACTTAGACAATGCATTTAGGATTTAATGATGAGCTTATTAATGCGTTAAACTAATTGGAATCATTTTTGTGTTAGAGGTTAGTTTCATACACGTTGCACTTGAAGTAGTCTAATTTAAACTGATCATGAATACGTGTGAATGAAATTGAACCTAAGTAAATAAACTTTGCTCTAGGATGCATGCATTTGAGTTCAAAATTTTTGAATATGCCTTAGAGTAGTGCATTGAAATGATGAATTTTGGACGGATCTTTTAAAATGTGATTTTCATGATTATTTTTTTAAGAATTTAATAATTGAAATTAGAAATTGCATTTATCTTTAATCCAAATTCATCCATGCATTGCATTGAATTGTTTTGGACATAATTGACATCATGTGTGTATGTTAGAATGGATTGGGAATGAGCTGAAGTGGGCTAAACAGCAGAAAACAGAGTTACTCTACTTCAGGAGTCGCTCGAGTGACCTCATACCCACTCGAGTGACCTTGGGTTTTTCTACAGCCAGGGTTTAAAAAATGTATTTTGAATGCCTCTTGGTATCCCTAACCCACTCAATTAAGTCCTAAAACTCCCACAAATATCAACCAAGTTTTCTAAAATCTCTCATCTCCTTTGAGATCTAAGGTTTATTCATTGTTTTCCCCCGAATCCACACTAGTGAGACCTAGATCCTTCGAGTGAGATTGAGATGGACCCAAGGACAGAGAAAAGACAAAGGGTTGAGGATGTCTATGATGATATAAAGCAGAACTTCAATGAATCTACTCGATTCATGACACATGAGTTCATAGAGAGATTTCAGACGGGAATTCTCTAGTAGTTTAGTGTTGATCGAACGGGGAATTGCTACCATGGAAGTATCACATTCTTTAGTCTATAATCTTATGAACCGTGGATGGACTTGGATGTTCCATGACCCTGTGTCATAGAACAATAACATGGTGAGGGAATTATTTACACATATTCAGATTAATGAGCCTGATTCACATATTGACCACTTTGTCACAAATATTAGAGGAATCGAGTTCATCTTTTCTGTCGACCTCATAACTACCACACTAGATCTACCTAGGGTTGAGAATGACTACCTGAGTGCAAGCCCGATAGACCTATTGCCTCCTCTCCATGTAGTTGCTAATGAACTGTATGGTTTAGATCATCCCGAACAATGGGTCACTCAAAAATTCTTTCACATCATTAACCCTAGAGTTTAGGATGCTTCACCTTATAACAAACTACAATATTGATCCTAATACCAAGTTCTTAGATTTTCTTGTTCCTAGACCACAAAGGCTTTATTTCATTGGTAGAGGATTTGGTCTTGATTTGCCTATGATGATTTTGAGTATATATGTAGAGCCTTTTTAGAGGAACGAGTGTAAAATCTATTGCCTTTTGGATCCTTGATTACTCATATCTGCAAAGGGAATGGTGTTTTAGTTCTACCCAGCGACCAGTTGCAGAACCATATGAGAACCTTGAATAAGAATTCTATGAAATTGGGTAAGGCTCAGGAAGACTACATTGAGGAAAGAGGATAAACAATAGGAGAACCACTAGTGCATCCTAAGACTCGTATGCCTAGGACACCACCACCCAAGTCTATCTTTGAGATCCTTATAGTCCAAATGGCATCACTTGATGACATTATGGTCAGCATTGATCGCACAATGACAGCGCATCATCACCTAACTTCTTAGAGGTTAGATGTGATTAATGAAAGGATAGAGAGCCTAGAGGAGACCCAATAGACTGTGACTGGAGTAGTTGCATGTAAATTTGGCCAACTCAGGAGGTTGCTGAAAGGGAAGCAAATTGTTGGAGATCTAGTACCATATAACATGGATTTAGACATAGAGATGCCTCGACACGATGTAGAAGATGGTGGAGATGTATCCATTGGAGTTATGACTTTGGAGTTTTAGTATTAGGTTATATGTGAGCTTGAGAGAGTTTTATTCATTCATGGCATGTACTAAAGTACTCTATTTATTTTTCTTTGTTGATCTTTAGCTTTTGTTAGTTTTTTTGTTTGTTGTGACATACTTTTGATCCTATGCTTGATTGATTGTCATATTTGATCATTGAGTTATATACCTTGTTTGTCCCTTAGTCTATGTGAATAATTTGGCTAATTACTATGCATTCTTACCTTCTTGTTATACTATGATTCTATGTCATGATTGTTATAAGTTGTCATTAGATTGACATTTGTGGAAAATAAGATAAGAATATGGTAGGTGAATTGATTATGTACCATGCTTGTTGCATGTTGTCATTGGGTTGACATTTGTGACAAATGGGGAAGAATATTTTAGGTACATATGAGAGTACTCAAGAAGATTTACTCTTGACTAGGCTACATATAGAAAGGGGGAATTTGTAATTCAAATACTCAGTGGGAGTA